ACACATATACGCTAAGAAAACAATACTTTTGCTGTACCATGACAAATAAAAAGTGAAAGCATATTTTCATCAATAAAGTTTTTTTTTTAAAAACAATTTCTAAAGACACTTGGGTTTCTTATCTTGACGTCGTATTGACTCTCTGAGGATCTGACTCGCCGCACACTTCTGCCCATGTTGACAACAAGGTCTCAGATATGACCAATTAAAAGTAAAAAGGGGCGATTTAGACACATTTTACAGTTGCGGAGACGATGGAAGCACAAACTTCTACCAGCTCACTTAATGACAGATCGTTAAATTCACGCGTGTGTTTATGAGCTGCTGAAGTTAGCGTGGAAAGCTAATGTCAACACAGATTAGGCTAACTGTAAAGTCAGCTGCGTGATCGATCGATCGATCCTATAAAAGAGCATTTACTGTCTGACAGCCACTGATCACTGAGCACTGATCACTGAGCCAGCATGAGGATCCTACGGTTCCTGAGGAGCAGCGTCTCCATCGGGAAGGACATCGACTATTACTCCAAGTTCTCCCCCTCCCCTCTTTCAATGAAGCAGTTTCTAGATTTTGGTAAGAAGATACACACACACACACACACACACACACACACACACACTCACACATATATATATATTCAAATAATGGATCCCTTTTTCATTAAAAAAAGTCAAGGTTTTGCAGAAAAATCCCTTTTTTTGTTGTCATTTTTAAGAGATCCTACCCTGGTAATCATATGGTAACCCTGCTGTAGGTCAGTTTGTTGTGCTGCTTTAGTTTTATTCAACACAAATTGCACACACGTCTGAATATCAGGGAGATATTAACTCAATATCAGGTAAAAAAATATATGCAGGAGCCTCCTTTTGTATTGTGTTCAGTGGTTCATGTTACAAACAACAAACAAACAAACTTCAGACTACCACAGACTTTTAAAGGGTGTAATACAACTTTAAAAGAAATATACATTTTGTTCATTTCTGTGCAGAAAACTAAATGAAATTGTTATTTTTAAAGTTTAGATTATGATTTAAGATGTCCATGTTGAAGACCTGAACACAGTCTGTAGCCTTCACTGTGATAAACAGCCTCGCCCTCGTTAGAAAGGTACGCAGTTAAAATAACCAAAGAGCTAATAGAACAATAAGAAACTTCCGTGTCACTATCTGGGTTCATTGTACAGTTTATCAGTCGTTCTGTACTCTTATTGTTATTTGTTGATTATAATATGAAATATCCATAAACAGGAACCACTGATTTACATCACGATGTTGTACATTTACTTGAAAAAATTATGTAGAAGTGTCTGTTTTTTTATCCAGCAGATAAAATACTTGACAAATCGAGGTTCTGCTTTACTGCCGCACAAGACAATAAACAATAATGTTTCTCTCCTTTAGCAGCATCCCTGTCTGTTTGAAACATAACAATCTTATTTGTTATATCTTTGTTTACACCTTCAGGTTCAGAAAATGCATGTGAGAAAACATCATTCGCCTTCCTCAGACAGGAGTTACCTGTGAGGTTGGCGAACATCATGAAAGAGATCAACTTGTTGCCCGACAACCTACTGAGGACCCCCTCCGTCCGCTTGGTCCAGGGCTGGTATGCAGGTTTTTCTTCTCTTGTTTTTCTCTCAAACTACACCGATGGCTGCAAATAAATGATAGTGATCCCTCTTTCCCCCACACGCAGGTACATGCAGAGTCTTCAGGAGATTCTCGAGTTCAAAGACAAAAACGCGGACGATGAGAAAGTCACATATGAGTAAGTAAATTAAAACGATTTAAATAGTTCGGCTTTATTTCTTTCTGTTCGCGTTGGTTTTTATTTTGTACGTCTTTTATTTAGTTTCACAGACGCTGTTATAAAGATCAGAAATCGGCACAACGACGTCATTCCCACCATGGCTCAGGGAGTCGTGGAGTACAAGGAGACCTACGGCACGGATCCCATCGTCAGCCAAAATGTTCAGTATTTCCTGGATCGTTTCTACATGAGCAGGATCTCCATCAGGATGCTGCTCAACCAGCACAGTGAGTAATCTGCTTTATTAAACTCAACACAGCAGCAGAGGGAACATTTGGTGATGATATTTGAGTGTAGATTGGACTCAGAGAGCCGATCCGCTCCATTAACCAGACGAAGCGGAGGCCGACCTGTCTGAACACAGTCCTGGTAGCCATCTTTATTCAGTAAGAGGAGATAAGATATTCCTTTAAAAGTCCCACATATTTATTCAGGGTGTAATCCTTTAACGTCACAGTGAACCAGGACTCAACAAACCACGGCACGAAGACATTTCCTGACGTTGCCAAGTGCCAACTGTATATACTGGTTTATTTTATGTTATTCTACTATAAATTGAATTATCATGTAGCTTTAAGGAACTGCAAGCTTTCATTTAGTTGTACAACTTCGTGTTGTGTGTGATGTTATGAACACATACTGGTGGACAAACCAGGTAAAGGTGTCACAGCAGCGCAGTTATGTTTAAAAGAGGAAGAGTTCCTGCTGTACACCTGACTCAGATAAAACCTGTTTTCCTGCTGTTCACTACAGTGAGGACACATGAGGAACATATGAGGATGTAATGATAAAACAAAACAACATTCACAGGGTCACATGGTTAGATAATAAATCCAAAGGTTGACACTTTGTGATATAAAGATTCAACAATATGGAGTTACATGATCTCTGCTTTGGTCCAATATTTACTAAACTACATTATATAAGGATTTTACAATTAGTTAGTTTGCTTTACCACTCCTGGACAATCATACAGAGCTACATAAATAATGTTTATAGTTTATACTGTTAATAACTTTGATGTATTGTTGTCTGGCAACAGTATTGTTATTTATTTGGATGTTATTTACATAAAAAAAATCAATTTATAAGACAAAGACTGTAAGAATCACTGGAGAGAACTGATTTATAGATAATATTAGCAGCAGGATACAAAGTTCAACATCACAGAAACAATCTCCAGTTGTGTTTTAAGTCTGAATATGATTTTAAAAACCTTACAGGTTCTGTTTGTACTTCCTTTCTAGTACTAATATACATTGTTTTTTACTCCTCAGGCTCATTTAAAAGCCCCATTACTCTGTAATTCCAGGCTGTCCCAGATAGAATTTGACAATCGTGACGAAGACTTTGATTGTCCTACATCACGCTGTGAAATGTTTCCACCAACAGCCGGTTGAGAGCTTTTCTGGCCAAACACAGCTTGTGTCAAAACTCTGCCAAAACTTGTAGCGCTTAAAATCTCACAGTCCGCTGTGACCTCGGTCTGTAAACAGAGCCGTTTGAGAGCTGTGGCCGAAATCTTGTTTTTGCTTTTTGTTGCATTTTCAAAACACAAGAGCAAGATGACAACAACCTGTTTCAGGTTCTCAGTTGTGAACATTTCCTGCTTTTCTTTGTCTTATTTGATATTAAAATGAATATATTTTCACCATTATGTGACATTTTATAGACAAAACAGTTAATTCATTAATTATTTGAGAGGGAAATGTCTATTGTGGTGTGTTTATCATTTAAATTACGTGGACAGCCGTGCACAGTCTCATCCCTGTGTGTTTTTCTTCCAGCTCTCCTCTTCGGCGGGAAGGTGAAGGTGAACCCAGCTCATCCCAAACAGATCGGAAGTATTGATCCGCACTGTCGCGTCAGTGAGGTTATCAGAGGTGAGGATGTCACAAACACTATACGGGGAACGCGCTGTGACAGTGACAGTATTCAAGTGTCATTTCTGTTCTTTTCCTGAAAACAAATCTCTTCCTCGTAGACGCCTACGAAAACGCACGAAACCTTTGTGACCGCTACTACATGAACTCTCCCGAGCTGGTGCTGGAGGAATTCAACGGTAATCCGATCGGATGTTTGTCTAAAGATACAGTGACACACACACTTTTGTCCTTCTGTCTGGTTCTCATTAAGCACTTTAAACTGTAGCATTAAAGGACCAGTGTGTAGG